GCCAAAGTCAAATATGAAAATGTTTCGCTCTCCAACACAATTAGTTCTCTTGTCAAGGCCATATGCAATAGCTGCAGCGGTAGGTTCATTGATTATTCGGACAACATTGAGACCGGCAATGGCACCAGCATCTATGGTGGCTTTACGCTGAGAGTTATTGAAATATGCAGGCACAGTAACAACAGCATTCTTAACCGGTGACTCCAAATAGTTCTCAGCAATCTCCCTCATCTTTGTGAGGATCATAGATGATACTTCCTCAGCCGAAAGGTATTTCTCTTGATTCTTGTAGTTAATGACGATCATGGGTTTGTCATTAGTACCAGCAATGACCTTGAATGACCACAACAATATATCTTTTTGAACAACATGATCACTATATCTCCTACCAATTAACCTCTTGGCATCTGCATAAGTTACCAAAATTCTGATTATTCGGATTTGCTGTTAAAAGTTTATAGAGAAGTCGTAAAAAAAGAAGGCAGTAATTAAAGAGTATAAAATATACCGAAGATGGTGTTCTCTGGATTGGTGGCAGCCTGATTTTTAGCAGAATCACCAATCAATCTTTCATGAGTCGTGAAAGCAACACAAGAAGGAGTGGTGTTGTTGCCTTGATCATTGTGGATGATCTCCACTCGACAGTGCTGTTCCTTCCATACTGCAACACACGAGTAAGTTGTGCCAAGGTCGATTCCAATGACAAATCCATGATCTTTGGCCATTATCTTTCAAGTGAATGAAGAGTGAGATACCGAATCTGAAATCAGGCTTTGGAAGACTTTTAAGTGTTTTGAATATTGCAGGTTGATTTTATATTCTTGAAATATGAAAATTCCCTGAAAGTATTATATTATATACTCTACATGTGTCAATCACTGCATCTTGATGAAATCGCAACTTAATTAATAATTATTCACACTAACACAGTCTCTTCGTGCATCCACCAGGAAATTGAAAAGCTAAAAAGACTCGCGAATCATTCAATTGATAGTGTATTAGTGTGATAGCATAAGTTATCATTCATTGATTTCCCTTCTTTATGGTCATCGTTATCTTTTTTGGAAAACTGAAAGACTTGGGAAATGAATTAAGATAAGAAAGGTCGTAGTCAGGACCCGGATAAATAGTGATTCCTGAGTACTAGAATAGGATTTCAGGTAAAGAAATTTGTTATGATACACATGTAAATTCTTAAATTGTGGATCACATTTTTTTAAAACTATATATGAAAATTAGACGAGGCTAACAGTTAAAGTAGTTTAGATTTACTTTATAAGAGATGAACTAATTATTTTTTCTATCAGAAGACAGAAGTCACGAATCACCCACCTCCCATGAACAGAGTCTTGCTAATTCGATCACACATTTGTTTAATTGTATTTATAAATACGATGAATAATACGCCAAATTATATTTATATATCTATATTTATCTATATTTATATTTATATCCATAATTATATACTTTTATATATTATTAAAGGTAGAATATTTTTTTCAAAAAGACTTCACTCAAAACAATATAATTTGGACTCATTTTTTTCAAAATTTTTTTGTCTTTTAAAATTCAAACCCTTCGGTTCATTAAAAAAAATCAAATCTTTTTTATTAATTAAAAATAAATTTATTAATATTTAATAAATTTAATTACATCAATTAAACTCATAAATAATCATGACTATTTGCAATAGAATGGTCTTCTATTATGAACATTAAAATTCATTTCTATTAATTAATAATATAAAGGGAAGAAGTTATCTGATAACTTCCTTCCCTCCAAAATTCTTAACTTCTTTTTCTAAAGCTTCTTCCAATAAGATCAAATATAAATGTAATTGTATACACATTTTTTATATAAAAATAAAATAAACTAATACAAAAAAAATCAATTTACTAAAATTAAAAGATATAAAATCAATAATAATAACTACAATATTTTGCACATATTATACGAAATACAATTTTCGATATCAAGTTTATATAATTAAACCATCTTTTAAAATGATATAAAACATAAATATATATATATATATATATATATTACTAGATAAATATTAATTTATTATTGATAAAAAAAATCTACAATATATATAAGGGGAAATAACTTCTTCCCTCCTAAATATAGAAAAAAATGTATAAATTATAGATTTATAAAACAAAATATCAAATTTACTATTTTTAAATATGAAAATTCCCTGAAAGTATTATATTATATACTCTACATGTGTCAATCACTGCATCTTGATGAAATCGCAACTTAATTAATAATTATTCACACTAACACAGTCTCTTCGTGCATCCACCAGGAAATTAAGATGGGTGGTGAATATTCAGCAAGCCCATCTTAGACAAATTAACATTGAAAGGCCCGGGATAAAGTGACTTAGTGAACATGTCTGCCAATTGATGCTTCGAAGGAACATGAGAAAGAACAATGAGCCCATCAAGAATCTTAGCACGAATAAGATGACAATCCACCTCAATGTGTTTGGTTCGTTCATGAAAAGATGGATTCTTAGCCAGCTGAATGGCAGACTGATTATCACAAAAAGTAGGAAATGGGAGTGGAATTTGGAGACACAAGTCATCAGCAACATACTTTAACCACTGCAGTTCACAAGCAACAGAAGCTAAAGCTCTATATTCAGCTTCAGTAGAGCTCCTAGAAACTGTGGATTGCTTCTTGGATTTCCAGGAGATAAGACAATTACCATAGAAGACACAATAACCAGTAGTGGATTTTCTAGTGATACAGCAAGTAGCCCAATCTGAATCAGAAAAGGCCTGAATTCTGTGAGGATTAGCAGAAGGATAGAAAAGACCTAAGCCGGGACATCCTTTGAGATATTTCAAGATCCTGAACGCAGCATTTAGATGAGAGTATCTTGGCTTGGACATGAACTGACTAACTTGCTGAACAGCAAAGGAAATGTCAGGACGAGTGTTTGTTAAATACTGCAGTTTACCAATTAATCTCCTATAAGCAGTAGGATCTTGAACAAGATCACCTTCATCATCCTTGAGTTTAACAGTAGGATTCGAAGGGGAGTTGGCAGGCTTGCAACCAGTGAAACCAAATTCGGCCAAGATGTCCAAACAATATTTTCTCTGGTTCAGAATAAGACCTTGCTGTGATCTAGCAACATCAAAACCAAGAAACAATTTGAGGTTTCCCAAATCTTTGATTCTGAATTCATGATGTAAAAATTTCTTAACAGCAACAATATCCTGTATGCTATCACCAGTAAGAACTATATCGTCAACATAAACTAGTAGAGCAGTAAAAGAAGTAGAAGAGTGTCGGATGAAAAGGGAGTGATCAGCAGGACTCTGAGAGAAACCATAGGAGATTAAGGCAGAGGTGAGCTTAGAATTCCCCTGCCGAGAAGCTTGTCTGAGTCCATAGAGAGACTTGTGCAATTTACAAACCAAATGAGGTTCAGGAAGAATCAATCCCGGGGGAGGTTTCATATAAACCTCGACATCTAAATCACCATGCAAAAAAGCATTATCAACATCAAGTTGGTGTAGAAACCAGTTGTGAGAAACTGCAACTGAAAGAAGGAATCTGACCGTTGTTAACTTCACAACAGGTGAGAAAGTTTCAAAAAAATCCATGCCTTCAGTTTGTGTAAACCCTTTGGCAACAAGTCGTGCCTTATGTCTTTCTATGGACCCATCTGCATTCAGTTTAGTCTTGTAGACCCATTTGCACCCAACAACCCTCTTCTTCGGCGGCAATCTGACCAATGACCAAGTTTTATTCCTCTCAAGAGCCTGAATTTCCGCAAGCATAGCCTGCTGCCAATGATCATGTTTACAAGCCTCTTTAAAGGAAGTAGGCTCGATGGTGGCAGATAAAGACATGCAAAAGGCAGTGTGAGAGTCAGAACAATTGGAATATGACAAATATGAATGCAAAGGATAAGGAGTACAACAGGAAGTATTAGCAGAAGAAAGAGTTGGACAATCATAATCAGACAAGTAAGCAGGTGGTTTCCTAGGTCTAGTTGAAATTCTAGTAGGTTGATCAACTATTTGCACAGCATCATTAGAATCATCATTGAATTGCAAAACTGGTTCAACAGCATTATGATCAATATTACTAGAGACAATGTCAGAAGTAACATTATTAGGAATAGCAGAAATAATGTCAAAAGCAATTAAAGAATCAAATGATTGTTGAGATGCAGTAGTACCAGTGGTGTGGTTATTAGAAACAGATGGGGAATTAGAAGCATATGGAAAATGAGACTCATAAAAAATCACATTGCGAGATAACAGAAAAGATTTTGTAGTGAGATTAAATAAGAGATAACCTTTGACCCCGGGTTTGAAACCTAGAAAAATACACTTAGAGGCTCTTTTGTCCAATTTGGTTATGCCAGAAGTGATAGTGTTAGCAAAAGCTAAACAACCAAAAACTCTAAGTGTGCTAAGGTCAGGAATTTTTCCAAAAACTGATTCATAAGGAGATTTATTTTCAAGAAATGGAGTAGGGAGCCTGTTGATGAGATGAACAGCATGCTTTATAGCATAAGACCAAAAAACAGAAGACAAACCAGATTGAAAAAGTAAGGCGCGAGCTACATTCAAAATATGTTGATGTTTGCGCTCAACGATGCCATTTTGTTGAGGTGTTTCAATGCATGAGGTTTCATGAAAAATGCCTTTGGAGGAAAAGAAATCAGTTAAGAAAAATTCCTTTCCATTGTCAGACCTTAGTCTTTTAAGTTTTATACCAAATTGATTTTCAATGAGATGAATGAATTTAGGAAGAACAGTTTTGACCTCAGCTTTTGATTTTAAAAGATGGACCCATGTGAACCTACTGAAGTCATCAACAAGCGTTAAGAAATATTTATGACCATCAATGGAAATTGTGTGTAAAGGTCCCCAAATGTCAGCATGCAACAGTTCAAAGAGATGAGAACTTTTAGAGATGCAAACAGGAAAGGGTAATTTCTTATGTTTGGCAAAGTGACAAGTATCACATGGTGTACAGTTTTTATATATAATATCATTATATTGAGAAGATAACAACTGCAAAATGGAATTCGAAGTATGGCCGAGTCTATGATGCCATAATGCACCGGTATTTACTGCATTTACAACAGAAATATTTGATTTATTTATAACAGAATGTTGTAAAACTTTAGTGCAATTCAAATCATTTGATTCTTCAAGACAGTACAAGCCATCAATCTTCCTAGCTGCTCCAATCATCTTGAAATGAGATTTCTGGAAAAAGAAACAGTGAGAATCACAGAACACTGCCATACAATCAATAGTGGAAACAAGCTTGGGAACAGATATGAGAGAAACAGAAAATTCAGGTACAAACAGGACATCAGCAAGTAATAAGTCACCTATATGAATATTTCCCGAAAAATTGGCAATGACAGTAGTGCTATTAGGCAGTTTAATAGGTATTGGTTTTGTGGCACGAAGGTCATGAAATAAGGATTTGGTTGGACAAATGTGGTCAGTGGCACCACTGTCAACGATCCAATGATTAAAGGCAGAAGATGTACCTGAGTTGTGGACAGAAGAATGATTTACTAAGGATGAATGAGCCTTAGTGTGTTGGAGCAAAGCCAAGAGTGCGTGATACTGATCTTTAGAGAAAGTGAACTGGTCATTGGTAGGACTGCCATCCAAATCGAGGTGTGGAAGAGAGGCATTTGAATCCACTTCAACCAAACTAGCAGAAGCTTTGTTGTTGGTTTTATTCTTTCTGTAACCAGCAGGAAAACCAATACGAAAGTAGCAAGTCTCAATGGTGTGATTGGTTTTTTTGCATTTCTCACAGAATTTGTTGTTCTTGGAATTGTTCTTGCTTGCATTAGAATTGGTCCTGTCGGAGGAGTTGAATCTGGGTTGATTAGTAGACATAGCAGCAAAAGCCAAAGAATCTGGAACAGAATGTTTCGGAATGAGGCCAATGAATTCACGTTCATGCTGAAGAACCATAGAAAAAGTCTTGACAATCGAAGGCATGGGATCCAGCATCATGATCTGAGAACGAACTTGTGCATAGCTCTCATTAAGTCCGCGAAGAAATCTAATCACATAATCATCCTCTCTTTCTTTGTGAAGTTTAGAGAGAAGACCACATTTGCAAGGTGTCAAACAGGTGCAAGTCAGAACACACCGATAGAGCTCCAATTCTTTCCACAGGATTTTCAATTTCGTATAGTATTCAGAAACACTGAAGTCACCTTGACGACAAGCAAGAATCTGATCCTGAAGATCACAAATCCGGAATTTGTCAGCATGAGAGAAGCGATCCTTGAGATCCCTCCAAATCTCCAATGCCGTATCCATCCACATCACCGACTGTTTGATCGAAGGAGTCATGGAACGAGTGAGCCATGACATCACCATCCGATTGGATCTACGCCAAGCCTCGTGTAGTGGATCTGTAATAGGTGGACAAGAAAGAGTACCATCAATGAACTTCTCCTTGTTTTTGGTTTCAAGGGAGACTACCATGTCTCTCTCCCATTGGTGAAAATTGCTCTCCGTGAGAAGAGGAGAAACAAGTACTAATGCTGGATTCTCTCCAGGACGCAGGTAAAGCGGATTTTCCGGATTCACCAAGTGATCCGGTGTCTGTGTAGGGTTCTGGCTGGAGGAAGCCATGGTCAAGTATTAAGGAAGAAGAAGAGAACGTTAAGCGGAAGAAGGGTGAGGTTTCAGCGATGATACCATGACAGAGAAATGCTTCAATCCTTATTATTCCTGACACAAAACGTAAGGTACAGGAATGCTGAATATATATACAGCATAAAACAATTCAAAATGAAAAAATAAGAGAATAGTTAACCATCCTAACAAACTGGCCAACGTAGCAAGGATAACGGAATTGACAGTAAGGCAAAAACAATCTTGCCAGCTAATGTTGGGAATCCTAACAGAAACGTAGAAACGTATTTCTCACACCAGTAGTTGATAAATTCATTCAGAAGAAAAAGAGGTTGATAGGTCAAAAGGATGGTGAAAAGTTCGATTTAGATCAAAGAGGAGTTTTGAGATTTAATAATAGGATATGTGTACCAAATGATTCAGAAATTAAGAAAATAATTTTAGGTGAGGCACATAAGAGCAAGTTGAGCATACACCCTGGGGCAACAAAGATGTATCAAGATCTCAAAAGAATGTTTTGGTGGCCCAAAATGAAAAAGGAAATAGCACAATATGTGGCTACATGTTTGATTTGTCAAAAAGCTAAGATAGAACACCAAAAGCCGGCAGGAATGTTACAACCCTTAGATATACCTGAATGGAAATGGGACAGTATAGCAATGGATTTTGTAGTTGGTTTACCACGAACAATTCATAAGTTTGATTCCATATGGGTTATTGTGGATAGACTAACAAAATCTGCTCATTTCTTACCCATCAACATTAGGTATTCTCTAGAAAAATTGACTGAACTGTATATAAGAGAGATTGTAAGGTTGCATGGGGTACCATCTAGCATAATATCTGATAGGGATCCTAGATTCACTTCTAGATTTTGGGGAAGTTTACATCAAGCATTAGGAACTAAGCTTCATCTTAGCTCTGCATATCATCCTCAAACAGATGGACAATCAGAAAGAACCATACAATCCCTAGAAGATTTATTGAGAGCTTGTGTGCTAGAGAATTCTGGTAGTTGGGACAAATACTTGCCTCTGATTGAATTCACTTATAACAACAGTTTCCATTCTAGCATAGGTATGGCACCCTATGAAGCTTTATATGGAAGAAGGTGTAGAACTCCTTTGTGCTGGTTTGAGACAGGAGAGAATTTAATCTTGGGTCCTGAATTGGTGCAACAAACCACGGAAAAGATCAAAATGATTCAAGAAAAATTGAGAATGACTCAAAGCAGACAAAAAAGTTATGCTGATAAAAGAAGACGACCTCTTGAATTCCAGGAAGGTGATCATGTATTTTTGAAAGTTACACCAACAGCTGGTATTGGTAGGGTAATGAAATCAAAGAAACTCACTCCTCGATTTATTGGTCCTTATCAAATCCTTAGAAAAATAGGTCCTGTTGCTTACCAAATTTCTCTACCACCTTTTCTTTCTAATCTCCATAATGTCTTCCATGTGTCTCAGTTAAGAAAATATATTTCTGACCCTTCTCATATAATAATGCCTGATACAGTACAATTAAAGGATAACCTTACATTTGAAACAATGCCTG